CAGCTGATACTTCTCTCCAGGATTGAACTAACAAACTCTGCAGAGTGGTGTAATAGAGATTGAATCAAGCAGAAGGAAGAGAGGGGGGCCCTATGTCCTCCAGAAGCCTAAGCCTTTAGCAGCATAACTATAGTGATAGCTCAGAGAAAGCTTTCAGTGTTTTTACCCGGTGAATATCGAAGCCTATAGCAAGGTTCTCCCCTTTGCCTTCTTTGGGCGTGGCTCTCTTCTCTTTTTGCTGCAGGCAGATCAACACCTCATCCTCAACCTTCTTCACATCAAAGACATACTGGTGGGAGAAAAAGGAGACTGTATTACCCTTCAGCACTGGTGTTGTTGATAACAGCATCTGTTAACAGAAGAGCATGGATCTACCTGAGGGTTTTGCAGGAAGGTGGTCTTGTGATTGATGCAGCCCCCGGATCGGTTTCGAAGAGGATCCTGGCGGTGGGTCCAGGTGCCCCTCATCACCTCTTCCTCCCAGGTCTTGTGGATGCTCAAATAGGATGTGTTGATGAGGCGGCAGAGGATTAGGTCTGTGAAGTACTGGCAGAAGTCGTCAAAGTTCATCCTGCAGAAGGACAGGCAAAGAGGAAAAGATAGACCAAAGGGAGCAGATGCCAGCTGGAGGAAAAAACAAAAGAGTTCTTAAATAGGTTCGAAATGAAAAGAAATCAGAGCAAAAAGGAACATTAACAGGTTACAAAGAGCTTTCCTCTATTTTTGCCTCTGTTTTACTATTTAAATGCGTTGGATTAACCATTTTATTTCATTTCAAAGACAAACTGAGTAAATACAAAAAGCAGTTTTTCAATACTCTATGGTCTAAATAATAAAAAAAACAATAATAAACATCTTTATTCAATAAATAGAAGAGATGATGTGTAGATTTAAAGATGGTCAAATGTGGTCATCTCTACCTACAGATGGAATACTTTGAAATAATTAAGATTTAGTACTTAAATGAATAGACTTAATATTTCTCCTTGGATTGACTAAACCAAGCAAATTTGTACAGTTTATAGAAATGTATACAGATGTGAAATGTCTGAACCATTGGAATCAATTTAAAGGAAAAGTCTGTTCATATTCAGAACTAAAACTTCTGAAAGT